GATATTTAATTTGTAACCATTTTTTATCCATAATCTTTAATAATCATTACATTTACTTTACATAATTGGAAATACATGGATATTCTTTTACATTTTTACATAAACTATACATAATACTGTTGGACTAATTCTATTCATTTCCATTCCTCAATTGCCTAATGATGCAGAAAAGCTTCGAACCCAAAATCGGAAAGATCTTTTCAGAATTCTGGTTGAATTTTTGTCAGTTCTTATATAAAAGTTGTAAAAGACATTAGTTATTCTGTATTTACGTTTTTATTGTGCAACCTGACTTATATTAAGAAATGTTTGTTTTTATCCAAATTTGACTATATATTCCATTTATTACCTAAAGTGTAATATTTTCCTGGTGAAGTCATTTATTTAACAGAAAAATCACATTTATGTACTTTAGGACACATTTTGCCCTCTATATACCTCAGAGAACCCATAACAGTGATTATGTCCCTAATCCCCTCAATTGGAAAACCATGGTTTACTGAGGAATAGAATTTACTTTGGATTTATGATAAAAAAATATCAGTTTATTGAATGTGTATAATTTTTATTACTGGAGAGAAGTTTTATAAATAGGAAACTGAAATGTATGAACTTTAAACTGACTTAAAGTGAAATTAATCTGATTCTTGGAAATCCAGGAGTAGCGGCTTCTTAGTTTTACTTGATGTTTAGGTTAATCTAAGAGGAAACGGGAAAGAATTGACAGATTTTTCAGAACCACAGAGAATAGAACAGGAAACGATCTCGACTTTTGGTCTGAGGAGCTCTTTATTCTCAATAAGCCAGGATGCATTTATTCTCAGGAAGCTTTGTCATCTCCTCCTCCCTCCCAGCTGCAGGAACAATCCTCTCTCCTTCTGAGGTCACTCGTGTCGGGTTCAAAATCAATAACTGATGATGTACGTCACAAACAAACAAAAAAAAAACAAAGAAGAAAAACAGGAAAGCAGGAAAAGCAAACATTTTGTGAGTTAAACTCACTGTTTTAATGACAGAACTCATCTTAACCTTCGTCAGCCGGGGAAGAAATCCCTTGTTTGACGGCCAGTAATAAATTAGATTATCACCATCTTGCCAAATACCTTTCTTTAGACCAGGGGTCTTCAACGTTTTCCAGGCTAAGGACCCCCAAACTGATGGCGAGATCGAGCGGGGCCCCCTAATTATATATATTCTAGGAAATTGTGTTCTATCAAACTGGTCCTATAGTCACTCTATTACAGATGGTGTAAATGTAACGAAAGTTATTTCTCCCTGGGATTATGAAAATATTTCTGATTCTGATTCCTGATTGATGGGACAGGTGTTGTGAATGAAATGGTTCCCAGCTTGAAAGAGCTCCTGTGTGTCTCTGAATGTGTGCATTGATGACTTAAAGACATCTTCTGCCTCCATTTATCTGTTTACTACAGTGTGTTGAATTCATGTTAATGTGGATTTAAAGACATTTCAATAAGTGGAAAAAATTGCAGGGGGGAATATAAAAAAAAAGTCTAATCAACCAAAACTTTATTGACCCCCCCCATGCAGTAACCCCCTGTTGAAGAACTCCGCTTTAGACTAAAAAGAGCATAAAAGTGAATAAACCCTCCTCACTCAGTTGAATAAAAAAGCATTCCGATTATTTTTTTTATTTTGTGGTAAATTGTGAGTTCGCTTTTCTGAATATTTCAGAGATTCTGCAAACTGCTTCTTTTGGCCTGACCTAAACGTCCAACAAGACCATTTGGAACCGTTCTGGGGAAAAGCAGTTCTATTGATGTGCTCCTGCATCCATTTTTTTCTTCCTTTTCATCGTCAAGAACTTTTATACCCCAGGTGTCAACATACAATCTCACACTTGAATTACCGACGGGGAGCTGGTGTCACCTAATTTGTCAGATCTGAGGGCCTCATCATTGTTATCACCAAACCGGATTCATCCCTGGTTGCTCTAATAGGAAAATGTGATCCTGCTCTGCAGCTGGGAGGCGCTGCGATGTGTGATGATTGGATTTACTCCCTGCTGCGTATGAAAGAATTGGTTTGTACCTGCAAATGAGAAGTATTTTTAAAAAAAGTGCTTGATATTTTTCTTTTCTTTTTTTTCTCCCTGGCAGGATCAGGAGCTTTTCTTCTTTCATGACCTCAGCCCTGGAAGCTGTTTCTTTATGCCGCGTGGAGCCTACATCTACAACACGCTTACAGAGTTCATCAGGGTACGACTGCTTCAACCACCTACTTTGGTGACTTCTTTAAAACAAAAGATTTTCTAAGTGTCTTTTATTTCATTATTCTTATTTTATTCTACCTGAAAGTTTTGAAAACTTCTTCCTGCCTCTGCTGTTGGCAGCTATAATAATTGTAAAACTGAAGCACTGCAGGGGAGCCGCAACACAGAAACACTCAGTTGGAGTCCAGGAGATTCAGCCTATACTTAACATTTCCAGTGGGCTGGAGGTGATTGCCACTTCACGGCTGCACAGACCTCTTGTTTGCAGCCCGCTGAATAGCTGTCAGTTTCAAAGGTTTAAATTCACTTTGGACTCATGGAAATCTGCAAACCAACCTGATTACTGAGGATCATCACAATCGTTTAGCAAAAGAAATGCATTCCTACCTGCTGAACTTTCAGCATTTTACAGTGTTTAAGCCACTGTAAGGGGGCGGGGTAAGTAAATAAGAACTCTATAATCAAGTAAAGAACACGTTTTTTGAACGGATATTGGGGAAAATATAAACTTTTATTCTTTAATCAAACCGTAAGGTTTGAGGTTAACTTTTTTTTTACTGATTTTACTTTACCAAATTCTTTTTTTTTCTTCAAATATTACTTAAAATATTTTTTTTCAATTTTTTTTTTTTCTGTCTTATTTTTAGATTTACTTTGACGAATCGCAGTCTTTAAAAATTGCGTTTTACAAATCATTTTTTCATCAGTTTTGGAGGGCAGTGGCCCTGGAAGGCCGACTTTGGGCAGGCCTGCCTAGAGGGAGAAGTGAAGACGCATTTCTATTTGTCTGCATGGACGTTAGCAACATTTTTATTGTTAATGAGCGCATGTTTGTATGGATTTTTGCAGTGGCTTTAGGAATAAACATACTTTTACCGAGTACTCTAAATATTTATCAGACTGGTTGCAGCGAGTCCAACTTTTGCAGAAACTAGAAGGTTTGCTCAGTCTATGGAGGAACATGGAGCTTTCTAGCTGAAACTTTGGTCTTTAGAGCAACTTGAGCGGATTTCAGTGGATCTGTGACGTCTTTGCAAAGTGAAGTTGACATCTCTGAGGCTTTCACAGCAGGCTGCACACACCCACAGCCCAGGCCATGCCATGGTGCTGCACATAGGCTCCACAGAAACGGTGTAAGATCATTATCGCGTCACCCCAGTCTGTTCTCACTTTGAAACTATGCATTTCCCTCCAACACATGTTCACAGAAAGTTTAGTGAGAACTCTTCAGGAAGTGGTCGTTATATACGTGACTGTTGGCCTCCATGAATGCATTAACATGCTTCTTTTCTGCTAATATTACTAATTCAGCTGACCAAGCATGCATTCTCTCACTGACTCCTTTATGTTTTGCACAGTTTCACACATTCACAGAAATCTTTTCCACCAGCCTTCCACTGTTGGAAGCAGACCAGATCAACAGGCTGTTACAGGTTTCTCTTCAGGCAAAAAAAGAAGAAAAAAAAAGGATAAACAGAAAGGATGAGATGCTGTTTTTTTTTTTGCAGAGGCTTGAGGTTTTACGGAGGAAGTCATAATTTAGATCCTCTCTGTGAAGCACCTATGCAGTCAATCTGGAATGTTTATCCTTGTGTGGTTTTCTTGTTTATCCAGGATGAGTACTGGAGAAGAGGCTTTCAGGAAGTCGCCTCCCCCAACATCTATAACAGCAAGCTGTGGGAGACTTCTGGCCATTGGCAGCACTACAGTGAAAACATGTTTTCCTTCCCTGTGGAAGAGGACATCTTTGCGTTGAAGCCAATGAACTGCCCCGGCCACTGGTAAATTTAGAGCATCTCCCTGCGTCCTGAGCATGAGAACCTCTCTCACTGAGGTGAGGTTTATTGGACACGGTTTGATTTTCTTCTCCTGGGTTTGTTTCCCGCAGCTTGATGTTCAGCCACAGGCCTCGCTCATGGCGGGAGCTTCCTCTGAGGCTGGCAGATTTCGGGGTGCTGCACAGAAACGAGCTGTCGGGGACTCTGACCGGTCTGACCCGAGTGCGTCGCTTCCAGCAGGATGACGCCCACATCTTTTGCATGATGGATCAGGTCTGATCTGAAACTTAAACCTTGGATTATTCTTCTAATTTTGTGGAAAAATTAATTAAATAAATAAAAAATTGCATCTTCAAAAATTATTTCAGTACATCGTATTAAAAATAATCTGTCCTGAACATATTAGATATCTGCCACATTATTGTTCTTTTTTATTTATTATTTTTTTTACATTAGTGATCCATCGTCCAGAATTTTAAAGGCATTGTCGGGTTATATCCCCATACCAAACGAACAAAATCCAATGAATTATGATAAAATAATGCTATATACCCCCAGCATCTGTCCTGATATTGTTCTGAGCGTCCTTTTTTTTTAGCTTAAATAGAACCTCAGCACTGGGTGCTACATTAACCAATGGGGCGCCATCTAGCTGCATTGCAGCCTAAATACCAGAAAGCCAGATTAAGTCCCGACTGAGCTGTAGTAGCTTGTTCTAAACCAACCACTCGTGGATAAGGCATAAACTGTTGCTAAAACCAGTGGCATTATTAGCTACTTATTCAATTCGGTTTATTTATATAGCGCCAATTCACAAGAGAAGTCATCTGAAGGCACTTTCCAGTTCACCAGATCATTCAGTCAGATTGATTCAAAGTTTTCTATCTAAGGAAAACCAGCTGATTGCATCGACTCATTGACTCTTCAGCAATCCCTCAC